GGGAGGCGAGGCAGATCTTGGCTGCGTCGCTAGTGCTGGTGAGGGTCGCGTGGGGGCGCGGGTGGAGCCCGCCCACGGCGGCGCTAGGCCAAGGTCCGGGTGGCGCGGGAGTGGAGGACAGAAAGAAAAAGCTCGCCGGCCATGGAGGTTGCTCATCGGAGGAGAAGAAGAAGAAATAGAAAGAAATAGCCTTCTTCATCTTTTTCCTCTTCCTTCCACCTAGCTCCGCGGAAGCATACCATCGCCATGTAGCGCTGCGTCACGGCGGTGGTGGCGGCGGACGCGCTCGGCGGGAAGAAGCTGCGTCGCCTGCCGCACATCGACGCGGACGTGTCCGCCGAAGAGGATGCAACCGCGCTACGGTTCGTCGCCGCCGTAGTCAACGGCCTAGCCTTGTCCACCAGGTCCTCTAGCTCCTCCTTCCAGCTCATCGCGACGGCCGACGGGCTACGCCGCGGCGACCGAGGATGCAGCCACGGGTGGTTCAGGGACGTCGGGCTGTGGCGCGCCGAGACCAATGCGTGGAGGCGGAGAGGAGCGGCTGCCGGCGTCGCGGGCGCAGTGACGAGGGGAGCTGATGGAGGAGGAGGGAGGCCCGAAGCGCACTCATGGCGGCTAAGGCGGGCAGCGTCGGCGAGGTGGGGAGGCTGGAAAGATGAAGAAGAAGGCTGACGCGTGGGGCCCACCTGTAAGAGGGGCAAAAGGGGCATTTCAAGCTTCTGTTAGCTGACGTTCCTCCCAGAGCTTACGGCAGTGGCATACAGGGGTCGAAAAAATCGAAGTAGTGGTTGAAAGGGAAGATGAATTTTTCAAGTGGCTGATGAGGAAGTTGCATCTTTTATAATGGCTAACAGGGAATTCTCTCTTATTGTACAACTGGCTTTAGGAATTGCCTTTTTTATTTACAGATATAGATTATATTATAACAATAATATTGCTCTGTTTGCTCTAATGCCCAATTCTTTATAGAATCTAATTACTTTGATCTCTGGCGTCCTGAATCGATAGGGAACTGCTTGTTGATTCTAAGATGATGTTCGTTGGGGACAAACTGGGAAGGTCCGCAAGGGGAAGTAAGTAACGATACTCTTGAGGCATGCATACTCGTGCCTCACATGTCTGTGGCTACTTTATTGGACTGAATGAATTTCAAGTATCTGCTTTAGTTGTTGTTTTAGTTGTTGCATAAATGAATGGGTGTTATGCACTGGATCCTTGCAAAAAAGGGTAAATAGTATACTTCAAATTAATTAGTTTCTCAGGTTGCCCAAATCCTCAAGGTTACTTCTATCAGTTATAATATTGTGCTGACTCATGACTGGTATGCACTTGAGGCTTTCAGTGTTTTTATTTTGTTTAAGTTTTAGTAGGCAGTAGGGTACTATGATCAAAACATTAGTGTGGGATGTCCTATCCTTCAAGGACCTTGTAGGAATTGTTAGTCATGATGTCAACAGACCTCCAGAGATCTCTAATGTGCTCACAAGAGAAATAAAAATCTATTGTATGACTGTTGGTATCATCACATTCAAATGACATTCACCTCACATGAGGAGACTCATGCCATTGAATTCTTGATATCATTTTTGGTGCGTTGTTCAATTAGTTTATTTTCATTTGCCTTTTAGTATGTTTAAGTCATATTCAGTAGTCCTGTTTTCGGTGATGGAACAGCTTCTTTGTGGAATTTTTTCTGACATTTCCATACATGGTAAACAACTAACATGCTGATATTTGGTTTCCTGTTCATTGCTAAACACACCCCAAAAAATATTGCTCTGTTTGTTTTCCTGGCGTTTTCATAGATGGTAAACAACTAATGTTTGTTTTCCTTTTCTTTTATTTTCATAGACTTTTTTTTTTTTTTCTTGGCAGTAGCAAAATCACTACTAATAACCTCTCCTCCTAGAAAGACGGCAAAGTACAGGCGATGGGGTCTGTAGCACAGGTAGGCCCCATGGCAAATTGGATTTGAGGAACGGAGCTGATAGCCAACCACATGTACCGTTGGATTGTTAAATCAGTTGTTAAAGAAACAATGAGCTTGTATACGCTAACAAAGATGATAAATTGATTATTTTCTATATATTGAAAAAAGTTATCGACATTTCACAATTGCTCTGTTTTGGAGGCTCTCTTCTCTATCATGAGTTTAATAGGAACACCAAATACACTAGATAATGCACTTAGATCTCATGTTGCTTTTTTTTTTCTTTCACTCGCGCGGAGCCGGAGGTGGCCGCGGATGTGGGGACTGAGGTGCCGCCGTTCACCGACGTGACCAACTCCAGGGAGAAGCCGCTGGTCTCAGCAAGGTTCAGCTGGAAGGCGGCCAAAACCAAGCCCAGATGGTAACAATAATATTGGTCACACGCTTTTGCAATCCTCAACACGATTGAAAAGTCTTCAGAAGCTTAAGCTTTGGCAATTCTGTTTTCTAGGAATTGCGCCTTTTTTGTTAAAAATTTAATCAACGAACATATAGATACGGATATTTGTTTGATTGGGTACCAACGGGAATTCTGGCATTGCAGGTAGCCGGGCTCTGCGGGTAGCGCAGCCGTAGGAGGAGACGCTGGAGACCACGTGCGGAGTAAAATCTAAAGCATTGCCGAGGTTACAGGGCTATGTAAATTCTTGGTGTTTGCCAAACTATTTTTTTTTTGTTATATGTTAAAAACGGGAAGGCTGGGTATGTATCCACTATATTCTGATATCACTGTTATCATGCAATTAATCTTTATCTGGCATCAGGTTGTCATGAGAATCATACTTTTTTATTCTAATATTATAATATGTGATCACTGATTTTTCAAAATCACCAAAGCATTCATACATTTTTGGTTGTTTAATGTGTGTTTTCTAAATGTCACCGTACCGTTAGCACGGACAATATACTAGTGGTTTTTAACAATTTAGAGTTAAAAATCTGATTCTAAGAATGAGCGAAGGAAATCTACTGCAGAAGTTTTTTTTTTGTGTGACTTTAATCTACTGCAGAAATTGAGTTTTTGTTTTTTTTGAGCAAACGACGGTGGTTTTATCGGATGTCTCCGAAGAGAAATGAGAGTGCGACGGATAAGGCCGAAATCCACTAATAAAAACGATGAGGCCCATTTCAGATGCTGCAGGTCTGGGGGCTGGCTGAGGCCTATTCCTTTCTGCGAGAAAATGAGAATTTCGCCATTCTCAAAATCGGGCCATTTGATGCCGCTGTACACTTTCTATTCCACAGTTACCCCTGTCTATGCTCAACTAGGACCGACGGAACGGAGACATACATGATCGAGCTGAGCGAGCGACGCGCTCCTCCTGAGTGCCCCGCCGCCAGGACTCGTCAATCCTGGGCGCCGCCGCCGCCAGGGCTCGCCAGCGCCGCCTCTCACACGCCGCGCCCCCTCGCCGTTGCTGCCTCCCGCGGGCCCCCGCCGCCACGGAGAGCCAGTGCCGCTAGCGCGCTCATCCTACCCCACTTCTTCCACATCCGGACTCACCACATGGATTGCAGCTGCTATGGTTCAAATCAAACCCCATGGATTGCAGGTGGGGTGATCTTATTCCTCGGTATGTACTCCCTTTCTTCCAATGTCATAGGCATCTAACTTCGTTTGGGAAGCTAGTAGACCTAGCTCTGCGAGTAGTATTCTAACTTGTTCATCCAATCTTGGTTTTATCTAGGCTCGATGTGAAGCCTGAGCGTAGAATATTTCTTGTAGGAGAAACTAGCGATGTTGGTGCTACTGGTGGCAATGGAAACGGTGTTGATTGGGACCAATTGGAGATTGGAGCCTGAACGTAGAATAGTTCCATGATTGAGTTTAGATTGGCTACAGGAGAGCCCATTAGGCTGATAAGAAGGTAAACATTGCAATATTATTACAGAGAATGATGTTAGTTGCCTCATTCCTGTCTATTAAATTTTTTTACATGAGTTTCAGCCGTCTTGTATTCCTCATGGGAGAAGGAACAAGTGCCTAGCCCACCAAGGCTCATGCAACAACAAGAAAGAAGAGAATTGCAAGGAAGTTGATCCCAAAGAAAATGAAGACCAACTAAAGTTGTGAACTTGTATCATTGTCTGTCTGAACTTGTGTCTATATGAACTTTAGTCATTGTCAAACCTATGTCATCGTGAACTGAGTTGTATGACTACTTATCACGACCTTTTATGAACTTCTATATGTTGTCCAATTTTTTTATCAATTATGCTGCTGATTTTATGTAGAGAATGAAATAGCAGACTTTGACAATGAAAATCGCAAAAAAAACTTTCAGGATAAAGGGACAGGGGAGGCATCGATGGGGTAAGGCTGGGAGCTTGGCCGATCTTTTTTTCCCACCCAGGTCACCCCGTTCGTTTTCCCCTCGACAACACAGTCGTTCTGTTTTAAAGAATGAAGAGTTGATCTCTTTAGAATGAAGGGGTAAGGGCAAATATGGAACAGAAAGTGTACAACGGCATTAAATAGGTTGATAGGTCCGTTCACTGATTAAAACTGGGTTGAAAAACACTTTTCCGGCTGATTTGTCGTGAGAGAAAAACACTATTTAGCTGATTTGATAAACAGTGTCGCGTGAAGGGAACCAGCCGGCTGACTCCAGCGAACGAGCTCAGAGCGTGTTGGTTTGTGTTTGATAACGACAATACAGCAAATCTCATCTAATGGCGCGTTTAGATACAAAATTTTTTGGGTTTTGGCTACTGTAACATTTTCGTTTGTATTTGGCAATTAGTGTCTAATTATGGACTAATTAGGTTCGAAAATTTCGTCTCGCGATTTCTCACCCAACTATGCAATTAGTTTTTTTTCATCTACATTTAGATCTCCATATATATGCCGCAAGATTCGATGCGATGGGTGCTGCACACAAAATGTTTGGGAAACAGCCCTAAGGATGACAAAGTAGCGAAGTCCCGTGCCGAGGATGACAAAATTCCCATTTTATCCCTTTCTGCTGCAGTGTCATGGATCCAGTTACCTGACCGATTCGCGAGACTGATGGGGCGGCGTCACGGTGGCGGCGGCGGCGAGGGCGAGGGCGTGGGCGAGATGAGGAAGAAGATCTTCCTCTGCACAAGGCCGCAAGGTCTGGTGATGCGGCAGCGGTGGAGTCGTTGTGCGAGTCCAACCCTCTCGCCGTCAACTCAAGGGACCGCCTCTCACGCACACCGTATGAACACCATCCCTTCAAATCCCCCTTTCCCTCCCTCCTTTCCTCTCTATCTTATCAGCAGAGAAGCGCCGAGTAGCCGTGCCTTGCGTTACGGATCGTTAGCATCTTTAAATTCTTTATTAAGAGTGTGTATATATAATTATACGTGTGCCATTGGGCCTTGGTCACTAAACCCTAATAGAACAAGCCTGCGAATTGCGCCTGCTGCCTCTTTTGATGGATATAATTCGGCTCTTTGTTATTTTTGTTGTTGCAGCTGACTTGCCACTGTTTTTTCTTTCACAAAATGAAATAGCCTTCAACACTGCACAAATTCTGTTCATCCGGCATCTGGATCTCTCCTCCCTCCCTTACATATGAATGGCATGGTGCATCATCTCATCCATAAAGTGATATAGCTATTCCTTAATTTTTCTGCTAATTCATGGACAGTATAAGCCATTGTATATCATTACCCCTTGTTATTTCACACAAGAAATATTGTTGAGCATACTATAATATTTCGCTAGCTTGTAGTGAATTGAATGTCTTCAACATTTCGTATGCTGGAAGCCTGGAATATTTGCAGGCAGAGTTAGAATTATCCAGTTTACAAACTGGACCTCATTGAAACCCTAAGGCCAATGCTCTGTACCATCCCCAACCTAACCTGAGTTTAAGTCCTAAGAGGTTAAGACCAAATCTGGTGCTTGTCTCCTTCTAATGTAATTTTTTCCATTGTTGCTGCATCTATGAATCGTTTGAGTTGGGGGCAAACTGATTCATTGGTACGATAATTCATTATTACTTGGTCTTTGACTACACAATCTCTCCCTAACATATCCAATCAATGCCTTCTGTTTATCTCTGCCATAGTGATATGGCACAGTATAGATATAATCTTGCTTTATTGGAACATATTTACACCCATAATTTTATATGCTGACAGATGGTGTGCTTTGTCATGTACCATTGATTTTTTTTTTTGCCCCTTTCTTGTAGCATGTATTCTGATAAGTATCTATCAGTACTAAGGGACTGATAAACTCCTCCTTCTCAAACTAGCCTGCAACAAACTCGTTTATCTACTAGATATAGTTCCTGAATTTTTTTTGCTAATCCAGGGCAACAGGTCACTGTCTTTACTCGTGGCTTTATTTTTTGGAAAGGGGTTGACTGGACAATTATGTGAAAATACAGTCTATGATGTTGAGCTTGCTGAACATTCTGTTAGCATTCATTCAAGTAAATTTTTAACTTTCTTGGTGTATCATATCATTCTTGCTGAATTAATGGTCTCAAAGATAGAGGCAGAGTAGTTTCTCGGTGAGCAGGATGTGATGTTGCTGCAGTAGAATTCTGTCACGTTTTCTCTGAATTTTACTGTCTCCTTGACACAAGTTATTTCTTCATTCAGACTCCATCTGGCTGCATGGGCTGGGCATGTTGATGTTGTGAGATGCCTTTGCAAGCACAAAGCTGATGTGGGAGCTGCAGCAATGGACGACACTGCAGCAATTCATTTTGCTTCCCAGAAGGGCCATGTAGAAGTGGCCCGTGAGTTGCTGGCATCTGGGGCCTCTGTGAAAGCGAAGAATCGGAAAGGCTTCACGGCACTGCACTTTGCTGCGCAGAATTCCCACCTGGATCTTGTGAAGTACCTTGTGAAGAAAGGTATCGACGTCACAGCAAAGACTAAAGGTGGCCAGACAGCTCTACATGTCGCTGAGGATGATGAAGTGCGTGCGTTCCTGAAGGAGCGCGAGCAGTCCATGAAGAAGGGAGCCGAGCTACCATCGGAGAAGAAGGATGATTCTGCCGAGAAAGAGGGCGATAGCAAGTCTTCAGGCGAGGTTATGAAAGATGGGGAGGATGCAGGGCAGGCCGAGAAGAGGAAAAGTGAAGGGGTTGGTGCGTCGAGTTCGCCGGGAGCAAAAAAAGCCAAAGTTTCCCTTGGCCATCTAGTTAGTGAAAATGACATGGACGAAGAAGAGTGATTTTGAGCAGCCGTAACCTTGAGGATGTAATAGGAGGACAATTCGATGGTTCCACTTCCACCCTGTGTGCTTTGTTATGCTAGTCTGTACGGCGATCTTGAATGTAAAGACAAGTGCAGAGTTGAATCTCAATTCTCATGTATTGCATGGAAGTTCTAAGTGCATCAGGTCAACCCTGCTATGGGTACGACCAGTTATTACGACGTGGGTACGGATGGAAGAGTCGTGTGAGCCATCCTGCCGTAGATCAACTTCCAGTCTTAACAAAATCGTAGTACCATCCTGCCGTACGTGCAGGAATTTGAGGTGTCTCCGTTCGACAGTCGACACAAAGATTGCATGAAAAATTACAGTAAGTTGATCAGCAACCCAGACTTCCAGAGTAACTAGGAAAAGAAAGTTCCCCACTACCATATTTTCCTGTGATTCTAGGAAGCCACTTCATGTATATGGGTCCAAACTCTTCTTGGTCTAGTGTGCCTCGATTTTTTCTCCTTTCCCGGGTCTGTTTGGAACACAGGATTGACTGAGAAACATAGGAAAGGAAGAAAACATAGAAATAGAAATATATGGTAGGAGTAAAATAGAGGATTGAAAAAACACATGGAATTTCATAAGAGAGGTGTTTGGAATGCAGGAACAGGAAATTATATATTGAATTGGAAATGAATGTCAAAGTATCTTCTAACCTTGAAATGACACGACTAAACATTACTAATCGTATGGTCCATGAATTATTGGAAAAAAGAAGAAGCAGCCTACATGGCTCATGGACCAAATGCATCACGTGGGGGCCACTGAAAAGGCATGGCTTTGTTCGGCTGATACTTAACCGGCTGAAGCTGTTTTGTTGTGAGAGAAAAATACAGCCGCCTGATAAGTTCAAACGAACAGGGCCTATGTGCTCATCTAATCATCTATGTCGCACCCATTTGCCTCGGGCTTCTACGAATAATTTGAGTTGGAGTAGAGGCCACCCAGCCTTTCCTCGAGAACAGTAGGATTCATTCCTTCTATCCAAATAGCATGTGACATCATTCCTTCGATCCAAACAACATGCGACGTCAGCCAACCAAAGGAACCGCTTTCCTGTAAGATTCCTATGAGAAACCTCCGTTCTAAACGGGGCCTCAATTTCTCCTCTATCGTCATCTCCGAATGCCTTGGATTTTCCACTACCAATCCAGAACTCAACCGTCGGTGTATCCGTCAGGTTATAACCCGTGCACCTCGACTTGCTCTGGCGCGAGCGTGGATCTTTCCTACCGAGCCAGCGTACGGGCCACCATGGCGTGCCTCCCGCCCGCTGTCACCTCCTCGCGTTCGTCGCTGCCCCAGGGCAGGGCACGGCAATCAGGCCTGTCACGCGTCGTCTCGGCGGGATCCCCTGCGCTTGCCGCATAGCCTGAGCCGCCCACGGGGCGTTCGGCGGGACATCGAGCCTACATGCCCTCACAAGGACAATTGCAGCCTCGCGTTCTGAGACTGAGAGATCGATCCAGAGGAGGACGGTACGTCACGCAAGAGTACGCCGACGCATACCAGGGCCGGCAGCGGCAGGCGTCGTCCACGGCCATCATCAAGAACAAATGAGCGTGTCAATTAATGTATTTTAACGTCATTGACTTATTGCTCTGAATGGCGTGCCATTCTTTCACTTGCTTACTATCGCTAGGTAATTACCACGCATCCTTTCGCTGAACCTTTTTCTCCCATGCTCATCAGCTCATGCGCCACTGTTATGTGCAGGAGAGAGGAAGCAATTTGTCACAATCAGAACGGAGGCAAATTTTGTGTTGCTATGTCTTTAGGTCCAAGTGTTCTCCTATATATTATTCTGATTCTGAAATTTCTATTTTCAGCACTATCCAAGTTCTAACTGAATGTTACTGAAGTTCAAACTGTTACAGGTGTCAAAACCTCATCCCACCCTTCCGTACAGCAGTATTATCGGCCAATTATTTTGAGTGCCTAAATGTCTATAGTTCTTATTTATTACATAGACTATAGTAATGTATTTTTATAAAATCTCCGCAACAACGCGTGGGGTATTATCTGGTTATAATATATTGGGCAAATTCACATAGCAATCTTGTCGTGACAGCGAGATCATGCGTAAAGAGGACTTAAAATCTCACGGTTATGGAAAATAAAAGGGAAACAATTTATCAACAAAAATACTGAAAAAGGTTATTATAATATATTGGGAAAATTCACATGCCAATCTCCAGTCTGTTCGCTTGGTCGTAAACGATCGTGGATTATAAGGCAGAACAGTATTTTTCTCTCACACTAAACCAGCCAGCAGTAATAATCCACGATCGTTTCAGCCGAAACGAACAGGCTGCTCGTCGTGACAGCGAGAGATCATGCGCAAAAATAACTCAAAATCTCACGGTTATGGAAAATAAAAGGGAAATAATTATACCTTCAAGGTTTATTATATTCTTAATTAACACCTTGAGCTGCCTTTTCCTGATCTGATCAACTCCTATTTCTTTTACACTAGGCTTTACAGTCCACGCTAAATTCTTTAGTTGTTCCATTTTTGAGAAAGTTCCTTTTCTTCTCTAGCGTGTTTGCATGATAAAGAAAATATTTGTTAGCCCATGATAAAAGAGAATATTTGCTGCCTTCACTCTCCTCTAGCTTGCGGGATGCAACTGTGGATAGAGGAATAATTATTTCCTACTGCTTGTGGATGATCAATAATTAGTATCTTTTGTTCATAATATAGAAATGTTTGAATGCAATTTCATGGAAGTTAAATAATACTCAAAATCATGGATTCGAGGGTGGAAACCCCTTCTGAAAAAAATGGGCCATGTATAGCTGTAGCAGAGGAGGGGAGACGAAAGTGTATTAACGGAAAAAGTCAACATTATCTCCCTCAACTTTCGCGAAAGTCCGCTTTTCTTCCCTAAACTCCAAAACCGAGCAAAACACATCCTTCAACTTTTAAAACCATTCATCTTACCTCTCTGACCCTGTTATAAGCAGTTTTAAAGACGGTTTTGTCTTTTTCTTTTTTTTTTATTTCGGTTGAATCTTAAAGAAATCATAGTAAATCACAGAAAAATCATAAAATAGAAAATTCAATTTTGTTGAACTCCACATGAGTAGATATACATAGTGAACATATAATATGGTATGTTTTAGTACAAAGTTTTTGCTGTGACTTTAGATATATGCTTTTCTGTAATTAATTAGAATAATTCATATCTGCAGTTTCTATATTCCAATTGTGATGAAATTTTTATGGTGGGTTAATTATTGTATGATTGAATTGTAGTAAAAATTTCATACTCATTGAATCATTTATAGCTTAGTTATCGATTTATTTATATTTAAGAAGAATAAACCTAAATAAAATCTATAACTAAGTTATACATGATCCAATGAGTATGAAATTTTTACTACAGTTTAAACATATAATAATTAGTACACTATAAAAATTTCACCACAATTTGACCATAGAAACTGCAGCTATGAATTATTCTATTTAATTACAAAAAGCATAAATCTAAAGCTACAATAAAAACTCTATATTAAAGCATACCATATTATATGTTCACTATGTAGATCTACTTAGGTGGAGTTTAATAAAATTGGATTTTCTATTTTATTTTTTTTCTGTAATTTACTATGATTTTTTAAATATTCAGTTAAAATAAATAAAAAAGATAAAGATAAAAACACCTTTAAAATCTTTTATAATAAGGGCAGGAAGATAAGATGAACGGTTTTAAAAATTAAGGAAGATATTTTGCTCGGTTCTGTAGTTCGAGGAGGAAAAACCTAACTTTCTTAGAAATTTGAGTGAGGTAACGTCGCTTCTTCTTTTATAGCCCCCAAAATCGAACAGCCGGCCCAAAGTGGGGAACGCGGAACGAACGGAAAACCCACCACAACCGGCCTCAACAGATCAGCGTCATCGATGCCGCCGGCGCAGGCGCCCTCCGGCGGCGGCGCCGCGTGGCGCCAGCTACTCCTGCTCCTGACAGTCCTCCCGCTCACGCTCGCTGCGCTGGCTTTCGTGCTCCAGTGGCGCGGCGGCGGCGTCGATGACCCGACCACGCGCTGGCCCTCCCACGCCTTCCCCGGCATGGCCGAGCCCACCCCGCCGTCCCTCCCCTCGTCCGACTGCAACGATGTGCTCGTGGGATCCTCCGCACCCGCCTTCCCCTACCTCCGTGGCTGGTCCTTCCCCTCCGACTCGGGCGCTGCCATCCAGACCATGGCTTCTGTAGAGGATCATCTCCAGCCCAAGGTGTGCGTGCAGACGAGCACCTCCGCGGGTCTTGAGCAGATCCTGCCCTGGCTCTTCTACCACAAGGTCGTCGGCGTCGCGCAGTTCCTGCTCTTTGTGGAGGGGAAGGCGGCCAAACCCAATGTCGCGGGAGTCCTCGAGTCAATTCCTGTGGGTGGCATAATTCTCTGTGCGTTTGTGTTCTTGATCCTTTCCAGTTCCGCAGTTCCAGCGCTAATTTCAGTGCCTTTGTTTGTCTTCTTGATTGATTGATTACGGAAGGGGGTAAAAGTGGTGTACAGAACCAAGGATCTTGAGGAGCGGCAGGCACGGAGGTCAGCTTCGTATTCCCAGTCCGCTGTTTTCGATAACAACTTTTGTGTGCCATTTCCTTTCTGCTAAGAACCACATAAATCCCATAAAGAATTGCCCTAGAATTCTAAATAAAAAAAATCCCATAAAGAATAACCACATAATGATTTCTGCATTTCGTTTCAATTTTGAAAGTGAGAATCAAAAGGATACGGTTCCTGGTGTAACCAGACAAAATTAAGTCAGACCGCATCCAACCATTGACAATGATGGATGAAGGGAGAATTTTTCCATGCCTACTAGTACTAGTAACCCACTTTTAGGACATAGCATGGCATAATGTCTGGCTTGGCATGTTCTTTGATAGAGTTTCTATCGCTCATCTCTGTCGCCTTCCTGATGTATTTTATTGCTTGGGCTCAAGTCGAATCTGGAACGA